GAAAAATTTCAATCTAGAATTCCAGAGCCCGTCAAACTTCCCAATCAAGATGAGGGCACAGTTTGAGATATACAAGCATTCCACAATTCTGCCTCATACTCTATCTTGACAAGTGACTTGAGGTGAGCTGCAGTAAAGTGAGGGAGTAGGGAAGAAGGAGAGGAGATGGAATTCAGGACACAACAGAGCCCAGTGTATCAACAGAACTGAAGGCAGAAAGACCATCAAGGACAAAGAGTAGGAGGCTACAAGTATCAGAAGGCAAATACACAGGGGAAAGGGGGACTCAACAGAGATGGAGAAGTTGAAAAAACACTGATGTGCTAAAAGCAACCAATACAAGTGGGAAAGAAGGCAACTAGAAACTTCAGTAAAAACAAAATGCTGTTCCAAAATGGAAATACAAACAGAGTAAGCAACTCAATCTGCAGTGAACAACATGTACACAGTCATAATATAATTCATACTGCTTATTTTCAACTTTTACAACAAATCAATAAAGCATAAAAAGAGAGAGAGAGAGAGAGAGAGAGACAGACAGACAGACAGACAGACAGACAGACAGACAGACAGACAGACTATGGTTCCAAAACAGAATTCAAAAGCTTTCAGACTTGACATTGTCAGAGGCAGAGACATAGAAAAGGGAAGGCGAAAGGGACAGGGTGCATCCCACATCTTGCAAAGTGGGAACTGAGATAATGTTTTACAGTTACTACAATAAAAACCAAGTATGCAAATATAATAACTCATTTTTTCCTTATTATCAAATTCTTGCTCCTTATAGAAAATATTTAAATTACTTTAAAAAACAAACAAACAGCTTTTAATCACCCATAATTCAATTCTTCACAGGACCTGGGTTTGAACCTAAACTCTGCAATTTACTATCTGTTTGGCTGTGAACAAGTCACGTAACAACATAAAAACTTTTCTTCTATTTCTTTCCGGTAATTTACCTATATGCTTTTTACTAGTATATGTATCATTATATAAGAATTGTATTATGTACACAATTTTGAATACAGATTTTTTTTTATTTCAAAGCATAAAGTAAAACTCTGGATACATATCATGTCATGCTCTTCTATATTTCTAGATATATTTCTAAACATGCCCTTCACCATAGGACAATGAAAGGTTTCCCAGAGATGGGACTTGAACCAAATCTGAAAAGAAACCTAAGTCTGCTAAGTAGGCAGGGCTGGGCGGAGTGGTGGTGAGGTACTGCAGGCACCGAGGACGGGGAGCGAAGGCACACAGCACAGCAAGCACAAGCCTCCATGCTGCAGGAAAGGTGCACAGGAAGGAGAGAGGAGGTCAGAGAGAGACTAGGACGAGCTTAGTCAATCATGTTAAGGGATCCAGATGGTTTCCCACAAAAGATGTGAGAAGAGGGTTTGATAGACCTTATTTGCTCTGGCACCCAACTAGGGCCACGTTTGCTACAAAGCGAGAGCAGGCTCTACAGTATCATTTTGTATGATACACAGGAATGCCTCCTGGAGTTCTAGTCTGGGTGCTGGACCATGCTGCGATTTGCTAAGGGAGAGAAGCCAGAAGCAAAATTCATCTCCCTTCCTGTTTTAAAATGTCACTGGTGATGAATATGTCTCTCCAGGTGAGACTTTAGGCCCGAGAGAATCCGTGGATTGGCCTTGGGGAGCCTAAATGTCCCTGAAATGAGCACAAAACTGAATGTGCCATCTGCATGTCTCCAGAAGAGGATCCACAACCTCCATCAGAGTCCCACAGGGGCTGTGACCCCAGAAAGGTTAGGCACACTGGATGGAGCAGGTGGAGAAGCGACAGACTGGGAGGACACCTGCCTAGGCGAGGAAGAGATGGGCTCCAGAGCACAGAGGAAGGATTAGCTTTGCCCAAGCACACTTCCTCCTGAGCCTGAAGAAATTCACAGCCCAGTGTTTGCGTAAGCACGTGCTGATGAAGTCTCTCCCCTACACCCCCAAAGAACGTCCAATCGCAGCACCTCGCCCCACTTACTACACATCTGTTGGTCTTATTTAAGAATGAGGACAGGTTTCCCTGCTTCACCCTTAGTGCCCATCACTAAGCCTGGCCCTTTGACAACTACAAGTCGGACAGCTCTTAACACAAACAGAATGAGGCTTCAAAGCTCCCGTCCACGTCTAGCAAGACCAGGCAAAGGAAAGGGGAGAAAACCCCAAACGGAAGCCAGCTCATCAAACTGTACAGAAGAAAAGTGGGAGGTGATTTATTTTAGGGTTGGAATTGAACTGGGAGGGAGAGTTATTAGTTGGGGAAGGATTTGATCGGTCTAGTTTTCAATCCCACTGGATTCGAACCCGGGTGCAGGTCTGTGAAATCTGATCTGGAGATGAAATACAAGCAGAAATATAAACAGTCAGCTTGATAAAATGAGGAAAGAAACACATGTAAAACCTAGTCTGCTCATATAAATATTTGATACATTCATTTAAATTACAAACTAAGTTAGGTTAGGTCACAAAAGGGTTAATAGAATGGTTTTGCTGAAACCACTTAGAACACTGCAGCTCCAGATCTTCCCACCGCATTGGGTTACACACACCTTGGCCTGCAGGCTTTACTTGACTGCAGTGGCTCATTACCTTGGTTGCACAGAGGATCCCCATCAGAGATTTCAAAATACGAGGCCTGGGAAACAGAAAAATTTTTAAAGAGCTCTAAGTGATTCGGACTTGTAGCCAAGGTGGAAAACTAGTTTTACTGCAAGGTTTGGTCACCGATTCCCAAACCTAGCTTTATATCCCAACCACTTGGGTGGCTTTTCTGAAATACCAATGAATGGAAATCTTAAGCCGGGAATTTATAATCATCCATAACTGAATATTCAATTATGAGGATGAATATACAATTTGAGGCTAAGAGTTTACCTGTCTTAATGCTTATAAATTCTAGGTGTTATCTTCCAGGAAAGCACACCATTGGCCTGTTATGCTATCTTCAAGGTCAGAGATTTATCCCAAAACTTCACACTTGCTCTCCTCCTTTCGAGCTTCCTGATCATGCTAGGATAGTCAGTGGAGACATGTGGTGTTATCGCTGGGTCTCTCCACCCCCAGACAGGGGAACACAAAAGTCATGTTCAGGGTCAGAGAGCATTTTTTACTCTTACTTTTGAATCCTATCGATTTCTTGTGTTTGTGTCCATATGACTTAGAGTTGCACTGGGAAAGGAAGTTTCATGTGCTCTGATGAGACTATGGAAGGAAGAAAGACTATTGAAGGAAGAAAAAGAGGAGATAAATAAGCTTTCTTGCATATGCCTTCTGTATATGAAAGTGCCCTATAAACAAAGCCCCATGCTGATTAACATTCAGTCTTGCAGAAACGAGACAATAAATGTACACACCAAACTGCTTACTACTAGGTGCAGCATGTATGATAAATGCTCTTGCGTGCTGAGAGGGGTGGGGTGGTGGTGGACAGACCCAGAAATCGGGAGACTTAAAATTCCAGTCTTAGATTTGCTGCTTGCTGGTCACACTGCCTAAGACACACGCTGGCCTGTCAGCTTCCCTACCTAAAAAGCAGTCCACACACCCCTTTCTCAGGTTCTTTACAGATCTGGGTGGGATTACTGGTGGTTGGACTAACAGCATGGCAGAACAAGGAGAATCTGGATTTAGGTCTTAGATCTGAACATTCATCACTTGTTAAGGGGCCTTGCTTGAAATGACCAATCACAAGTAAATGGGGCAAACCCCTCTTGCAGTGTTGTAAGGATTAAGATAATGACCTATGTAACAGGAAGGTATACAAAGAATAAAATTCCATACAAGGCAATATTACACAGCTCTGGCTATTGCATAGATTCATAAATAACTTTCCAGGAGTAAAGGCTCAGTGGTATCTTACCTTAGCCAGTTTCTTCATCCTTCTCAAGTTTCCATATTCTGATACCTTTGAACTTCTCCCAAAAAAATTAAGACCTTAGGAATCCCACTCTGCCCCCCATCCCCACCCCACTCTCCTTTCCTTTCCCTCTCTGGCCCTCTCAGAATTAGAAGGGCTCCATTTTTTTCTTCTCAAGACCACAAAGAAGGTGAGAATGACACTGACCGAGCCGGTTGGCTGGGCCTGCGCAGTGAGCGGAGGAAACATGGGCAGGCTCTAGGCCAGCTTGTTCTTGGACTCCCCTGCCTGGGATGGGGCTGTCAAGAGCAGGGCACTGAAATGGAATGCAGTGGGGGCTGGGGCTTCTTTGGAGAGCCGTTCATCTTAGCAAATGAGTACAGCCCAGCAGCATCTGTGGCCCCAGTGTGTAATCTCCATCACACCTCAAGTGCTTGGCCGTGCAGACTGGGGAAGGGTCAGAAGAGACTCACCAGAGCTTTCTCATCCAAGGTTCATGAGGTATAGAATGAGGGACACAGCCGTTGTCCTACTTCTGTCCATTTGAGGAGCAGTAGACAGTTAATAGGTTTAAAAAATATATTTTTAATTAACTAGGGAATGGAAAGCTTATAAATATTCATAGGTGGGTTGTTGGTGAATTGCTACCCAAAGTGATGTCCTTAACTAGTCGCTGTTTAACCAAATGCTATGATATAGGGCTTAAACCGCCAGAATTTGACTAGGCAGGCCTATACCAGTAACCTGCCCGTTGCTCAAGAAATTACCAGTTTAAGAAAAAAAAAAAAAAAAAAAAAAATTTAGTTTAAAAATACCTTTCCCTAAGTGGGATCTTCATCATCTAGCTTTGTACGACCCATTCCTAAGAAAGCCACATGGTATTTCAGACACCACCGCCACTTAGGGGACAGTTAAAAACAAAGTCCTTGCCTTTAGGGGCTTAGCTTTCCTTTTAAGTTAGCCTCTGAAATGCTTGTGCCTTTGCTGCACTCCTGAAAACTGTTATCTTTAAGATGGTGGGAGGCCTCATTTTCACAAAGGAGGAAGAACAAAGCAGTGGTGTCTAATCAGGGGGGTAACAGGTATGACCAACGCCTGGAGATCACCTTCTTCCTTTTGTGTCACTCAGTGAGGTGGGTCCTGTGGTGTCGCATGAGGTGGGAGTTGGAGATGAAGGCTGCACCACACTTCTCACACTCGTAGGGCTTCTCCCCCGTGTGGGTTCTCTGGTGCACAGTGAGGCTCGACCGCTGCCTGAAGGCCTTGCCACACTCATTGCACGTGTAAGGTTTCTCCCCATTATGGATTCTCTGGTGAATCAGCAGGTATGAGCTGCAGGTGAAGGCCTTCCCGCACTCGTTACACACGTAAGGAAGGTCTCCACTGTGAATCCTCTGGTGCACAATAAGGCAAGAGAGCTGACTGAAGGCTTTTCCACACTCGCTGCAGTCATACGGTTTCTCTGCAGTGTGGATTCTCTGGTGCACGATCAGGTGTGAAAAACAACTGAAGGCCTTTCCACACTCTTTACACTCATATGGCTTCTCACCGGTATGGCTTCGCTGATGCACAATAAGATTGGCACTCTGGGTGAAGGCTTTGCCACAGTCATTACAGGCAAAGGGCTTCTCCCCGGTATGGATCCTCTGGTGGACGATGAGGTTGGAGCTCCGGGTAAATGTTTTCCCACACTCGTTACATTCATAGCATTTTTCTGTAATGTGCACTTTCTGGTGCCGAGCAAGTTGTGAGCTGTAACTGAAGGCTTTCTCACACTCACTGCACTTGAAGGTTTTTTCTAAGGAGTGAATTTTTTGATGGACAGTCAGGTTTGAACTCTGAGTGAAGGCTTTCCCACATTTGGAACAAACGTAGGGTTTCTGCCCCGTGTGGATTCGCTGATGCACAACAAGGTTTGCGCTCTGAATGAAGGCCTTCCCACACTCGTGACACTCAAAGGGTTTCTCCCCAGTGTGGATCCGCTGATGTACCACGAGGTTAGCACTCTGGCTAAAGCCTTTCCCGCACACACTGCAAGTAAAAGGTTTCTGCCCAGGTTGGCTTTTCTGTTTTTTAACAGGGCCAGAACTTCGGTTGTATCTTTCCCCAGATTTCTGACATCTCTGGTCTTCTTCTTCTTTGAAGCTTCCAGGTACATGACAGTCCTCCACTGTCACTTGCCTGAAGTCCTTCTTTTCCCTCTTTATTCTCTGCCCCTTTAACATGTTCCCTTTTTCGAAGGCTTCTTTGAACTCAGGTCCTTGAGAATCAACTTTCTGGATCCTTCCTGATATCATGAAGGGTTTTTCTGCTTCATCACATATTTCAGTTTTTGGAACCAATAATTGTGGGTTCTTGGTCTCAGCACCTGAAACAACAAACAACAAATACAAGTATCCGCTTTTTCTAACCTAGAAAAACAATAAGATCATAAAGTCATAAAGGTGAGGAGGTCTGTGACTTCAGAGCCTGTAGAAGGGCTTCATTCAAAGAAAAAATAACCTCTGGCCCTGACTGGTAGCTTAGTTAGAACGTCGTCTCAAAATGCCAAGATTGGGGGGGCAATGTTAAAATATGTACACAAATAAAATTTAATAAAAAAATGTAAAAAATAAAATAAAAATAGAGAGATGCAAATCAAAACAACAATGCGGTACCATCGCACACCTGTCCGAACGGCCAACATCAACAAATAAACAAACGACAAGTGTTGGCGAGGTTGCGGAGAAAAAGGAACCCTCGTGCACTGCTGGTGGGAATGCAGACTGGTGCAACCACTGTAGAGAACAGTGTGGAGTTTCCTCAAAAAACTGAAAATGGAACTCCCATTTGACCCAGTAATCCCACTCCTAGGAATATATCCCAAGAAACTAGAAACACCAATCAGAAAGGATATATGCACCCTTATGTTCATAGCAGCACAATCTACAATAGCCAGAATTTGAAAACAGCCTAGGTGCCCATCAGCAGATGATTGGATCAAAAAACTATGGTATATCTACACAATGGAATACTATGCTGCCATAAAAAAGAAGGAATTCTCATCATTTGCAGCAACCTGGATGGAATTGGAGACCATCATGCTGAGTGAAATAAGCCAATCAATGAAAGAGAAACACCACATGACCTCACTCATTTATGGATAATAAAGAACATTATAAACTGATGAACCAAAAGATAGATATAGAGACAGTAAAGCAACAAGCAGACTGTCAAATTACAGTGGGGATGGTAGGGAGATCTGGGGGAGATAATAGATTAACCGAAGGACTTGTATACATGCATATAAGTACAACCAATGGACATAAAACTCTGGGGAAGGATATTGTAAGAATTTAATTTTTACAATATCCTGTTGTACATAATTATTAATGAACAACAACGTTTGATAATGACTGATTTCTATAATTGTGTTGCATTCATTTCCCTTATTCGCCTTATGTGCAGGTGCACCATTTCTCTCCACTTATACTAGCAGTGAATATTTTAGCAGCCAATTGCCACATCATTAGTCTTGTACTGACTTGTTTGGTGTGTGCAACAGAAAATTTTTCACTTTCAGAAAACAAGAAAAATAGGTTTATTTGCATTACGCTTACTAATTTGTGCAGTTATTCAGTGTCTGGTAAGTTAATGTTCAAGAAAGAAAAACTAATTTTCATTAAGCTGTTCTACTATTATTTTATGTTAACAATTACTCATTTATTTCCGCCCTTTGTATTCAGCATGTCTCTGTTAAAATAAACTTAAGTTTCTGTGAAAATGGAAGCTTTTTGTTTGTGTGTGGCCCACATGAACTTAAACCTTGTTTATTTGGCCTGTGTTAGCCTTTGAGTTTGACATGCTTGCTCTACATTGCAGCACAACCCTAATATTATCAACGAAGGGTCCTGCAGTCAGTGACATCATAGCTCTGTCTCCTCTCCAGCCTCACTGCCCTTGACCCTGCAATGTGTACCCATGCAGCCACGGCTCCCCTTTTACCAGAGCTGGCGGACTGAACCCTTTTTAAGTGTTTGGGAATTAAACCAAGCTCAGGAAAATACTCAAATAATAAGCCAAGTAGAATGAGGATCAGCAGGGGCTAGGGTTGAGAGGCAGGCCTCCCCATTGGTGGTGTCAACTTAGAAGTGAGCAGTGAAGCTGTGAGCTGCATCACACAGCAACTGCCAGGGGAACCCAGCACCCACAAAACATCCTACCTGCTCCAGCCAGGGTGACTCTCCAACCAGAGATGAGGGGGTGTAAAGGTGCAACAAAGCAATATGGGGGCAGGAAACAGCCCAGCTTGGTTGCCTGGTTAAGACCACGGTAATATAAAATTCCATCACAAGCATTCAGATAATAAGAAGGGCAGTATCACAGAAAGGAAAGGCCATAAAATTATCAGGGCACCAACTACACTCAGATCTCTTTTAATTCTCAGAGCTCAGTGTTCCTGCTATGACCTGCTGCTGTGGAAGTGGCTGGCAGCACAGAAAAGTAAGTCTTTGCTGGGAACAGTCTTGAGGTCAAGAGAAAGAAAATAAAGGCCATTCCTGGTGGGCGGGTGCAGCTGTGAGAATTAAAACTATGAATAACTGATAAAGCAAGGACACAGAGAAAAAACGTTACACGGGGGAATACATCAGAGAGAATGGAACAGAAAACAGAAAGTGAGAAACAGAAGCTGCGGAGAGTTTGGGGAATAAATAAAAATCAGGCAAGAAGATGAAAGGTAGAGATCCCAACCTTCCTCACAAGACTGGTGTAAGAAAGTGACTTGGACCACAAATGCCTGAGGACTAGCTAGTGAGGAGGATGGGTTCAAAATATTCAGACTCAGCCCTGTACCAGACAGACTCATAAAGTGAGTGCCCAAAGAGACCTTGGCAGATATCCAGGGATTGCTTCCATAACAAAGGACTCATGGCTACCACATTCTTCAGCCAGTTACACACCACTCCATTGGCAAGCCTCTGCTACTGCTAGTTAGACATATAACACTAGAGGCCTGATGCACAAAATTCGTGCAAGGGGCTCTGCCCTCACAGCCACAGCTGCCTCATGGCCCCACCCACTGATCATTCTGGAAAGTTATTTTGAAAGGTCATTCTGCTGTCCGGTCTAATTAGCATATTAGCTCTTTATTATATAGGATACCTCTCTTTCCTAAGTCCCAGCTTAGAGAACCAGATGATAAACCACCATATCCTTCAGGAGGACCTAGTTTTTAGCTGACATCATTGCTCAAAATCCTCTAGAATTTGCAAAAAGTTCTAGGAAAACAGAACACCTCCAGGCCATTTTCTCAAAATCACCAACCTATGCCAAACACAAAGTATATGAAGAGGTTATGTACCCACATGTGTGAATAGATATGAAACCTGCTCAACAACCAATGTGATTAAAAGGTGAATCTGAAGTTCCCCTGTGTTTGTCTGGTTTGAGACTCTATGCAGAATAAGCCATTTCCTGTGACAAATGCACAGGCATCTTTCAGCATTCTGGATCAGCGGCTAAACTTACCCAGAGAGGCCATGTTCCCGTGAGTCTCCAGTAGCTTGCTCTTGGCCAGACTCCCCGGTAACGAGTAGCTGCTGAGGGTTGAAGCAGCAGGCACCTCCTGTGTTGCTTTCAGGACTACAGCCATGTCCCAGAACATGTTCTGACCCTAGAGACAGGCAGGCATAGGTGGCTTTATGAGAGGATGGTCACTGGGGTCAGGGGCTGGGGTGATCAGGTATGATGACTGCTTTTGAAGATGAGAATATTACGTACCTATTCCTGGAAATGATAAAAACAAACAAACAACCTCCCCCCCACCAATCCCCAAACTTTTTTTTTTTTAAATTTGATTTTAGCCGAAACCGGTTTGGCTCAGTGGTAGAGCGTTGAGCTGCGGACTGAAAGGTCCCGGGTTCGATTCCGGTCAGGGGCATGAACGTTGGTTGCGGGCACATCCCCGGTAGAGGGTGTGCAAGAGGCAGCTGGTCGATGTTTCTCTCTCATCGACGTTTCTAGCTCTCTAGCTCTCTCCCTTCATCTCTGTAAAAAATCAATAAAATACATTTTTTAAAAATTTTTGATTTTAGAGAGGGAGGGAGAAGAGGAGAAGGGGGAGAAAGAGAGAGAAACATCCATCATTTGTCTCCTACATGTACTCTGCTGGGTACTATATACCAATCTTTTTGGTATATAGAACAACATTATTCCAACTGAGGGACCCGGCCAGGGCTCCAAACATTTAATTAATAAATAAATAAATAAATAAATAAATAAACAAACAAACCAACAGGAAGTCAAGGAAGCCAATCTTTCCTAATCTAATCCCCATGAAGAGTTAGGCAGAGAAGCCTGCACCTTCTTCTCTATCATTCTGATTTCACCTCAATGCTCACTCTAGCATCCACACTGAACTTGCCAGTGAGTGCATGAAAAGACAAGAGAGCACATAGGGAGACTTTGCAGAGTAGAATTTTCTGAGGACTAAAGGTCAAAGATCATACTATTACACAGGCTTTGGGGAACCTCATCTAGCTAGTGATGGTAAGGGGTGTGTTTGAAAACATAAGGACCACAGTGTGTACAAAAGCTCACTATTCAAAGGGTCCTTTGCAGTTCAAATGAATCACATTCACCTGAGAGCTTGTGAGAAATGCAGAATCTCAGGTCACACCCCGGACCTTCTGAATCAGAATCTGCATTTCAACAGGAAACCGCCACAGCGATTCCTGTGCATATTAAAGTTTGAAAAACAAAGGTCAGAATGATCAAATCCTGACTGGAATCAGCTGAAAAGTTTTAAAAACTGGACAAGTCTGGTCCAGCCCCCAGATATTGATTTAACTGGAATGCAGTATGGCATGGGCATCAGAGTTTTTAAAAAAGCTCCCCAGGTAATGCTGTGTAGCAAAGTTTGAGAACCACCAGTTTATAAAGTACTAGATGCCAGCCCTGGCTGGTTTGGCTCAGTGGATAGAATGCCAGCCTATTTCCGGTCAAGGACACATGCCCAGATTGCTTGCTCAATCCCCAGTGGGGGTAGAGGCTGCCAATCAATTTTCTCTCATCATTGATGTTTCCATTTCTCTCTCCCTCTCCCTTCCTCTCTGAAATAATATATATATTATAATATATATAAGTACATATATTATAATATATACATATATATTATATATACATATATATTTTATATACAATATATGTTTTATATATAATATATATTTGTATATATTATATACACATATGTATATTGTACATATGCATGTGTATGTATGTACATACATACACACGCGCGCACACGCACACATATATATATTACCAGATGCCACATCAATCAGAAGAGAATGCTCCTTTATATTCCAAAGGACAAAAGACCAGAGCCCCGGCTGAGAACAAGGCTCCAGGCGAGGCAGCAGAGGGACAGCGGCCCTCTCTGAAACCCCTGAAGATCTTTCGGTTTCTCCTCCTCCATTCCACCCAGACTATTACTTACCTTTTCCTCCTGCTCTGCCCCATCAAGGCCTTCCCGAGGGTCCTCTCCAGGAGCCCCGGCGTTGATGTGGTCAGAATGCACTTGCTGGCTGGATGCCTGACCTAGGAAGCTTTCCTCTTCTTCCTCCTCCTTTTTCACTGTCACTGGGCCCCAAGGCGCCAGGGCCACGGCCTCCCTCAAATCTGCAGTCATCTTCTCTGCTCAGCAGAGCTCCTGCAGCTGAGGGCTGCCCGGCAGAGGTCAAGCCCCATCTAATCTTTAATTTCAACAGTATCTTCTCGAGTTTCCTCCCAGGGCCAGGATGAGTACTGTCTACTGAGAAAGCAGAAAACATTGTTAGCATCAAGCAGACATTTGCCTGGCTAATTTAACTGGGGTCCCCAAGGCAAGGACATGCCAGCCCACCACAGGGATAGACCCACTACCAAGCCCACTGGCCAATTTCACCAGTGCCTAGACAGTGGCCACTGCAGCACAGGCTCTGCTCTACTCCTCATGAATAGGATGGAAGGGATTGGATTGTAAACTTGTAATCTGTCCCCATAATAATTACACTGCAAACGGCTTTATATAATGTCTACTGATTTTTTCCTGATTATAAAATTGATACATTTTTATTGTAAAGACTTGAAAAATACAAAAAATGATTAAGAAAAATCACTGCTGGTCCATCTCCAAGGAGGTAACCACTGTGTATGATAGAATACATTTCTTTTAAGCGAAAACTTCCACCACAATTGTGTAACCACAGTTATGAAAACTTTTTTTTTTTAAATATATTTTATTGACTTTTTACAGAGAGAAAGAGAGAGGGACAGAGAGTTAGAAACATCGATGAGAGAGAATCATCAATCAGCTGCCTCCTGCACACCCCCTACTGGGGATGTGCCCGCAACCAAGATACATGCCCTTGACCGGAATCGAACCTGGGACCTTTCAGTCCGCAGACCGACGCTCTATCCACTGAGCCAAAACCAGTTTCAGCAAACAAGTTAAACTTTTTAACTACGGGGATTCATATTTTCATAATTATCACCATGAGATTTTAGTGCCAAAGATAAATAATAGAATAATATTGAGTTAGGCAGAGAAGCCTAATAATGAAGAGTTAGGCAGAGAAGCAAGCCTGCACCTTCTTCCCTATCATTCTGAAAAAAAAAAAAAAAAAACATCAAGAAAAATTGGGAGCCTAGACGCCAACATGTTATCACTGGGTGCTGTGATTACAGATAATTTTGAGGTTCTTTTTGATTGTTATATTTTCCATTTCTTCCAAATGTCCTGTGAGACTAAGACTTAGTCTTAAGATGATGAAGATTTTTTCCATATTGCCATCTTCACACTTATCCTTTTTAGTAACTACACAATAACCTATGGTATTATCATTCCCATTGAAAAAGCATCAAGTATACAGAAATACACAGAATTAAATATATGTCCTACACACACACACACACACACACACACAAATTAATGATCAGTCTACTTAATCTTTTCTCTGCGTTGCCATACATTTATATACACCTTCACACTGTTTATTTTCCACAATACATTAGATCATATATGTATACTGTTCAGCAATTTGCAGGGGTTTTTTTTATATTTCTTATAATTTTATAAAAAATTTCTATATTTCACAATAGTCTAGTAGTTTTAGATAGATGTTTAAATATAAGTACATTCAGAGATATCTCATTCTGGCATAGTACTTTCTATTATAGCTATAATTTACTTAACCATCTCTAATTTATGAACCATTGCTTCAGTAAAAGAAGTTTTTATTGTTTCCACTTATTTTCTCAAAAATAATTAATGCTAAGATTTTTCTGTGCAAACAGAATAGAGGGATTAGTGGTTGAAGGAATTTATGATCGACATGTATTGCCAAATTGCTTCCTAAAAGGGCCAAACCAAATCACGCCACCAACTTAACAGAACTCTTTTCTCACAACCAAGCCAACAGGCTTTTTTGTGTTGTTGTTGTTTTTTTTTTTTAAGTGATACAATTACCTTAACATTTTCGTTGAATATGAAGAGAATGAGCTATTTATATTCCCCTATAGATGCTTTGTTAGAATAAAAAATGCTTTTATTAACCCCTTTTGTTGCTATTGATGTGATCAAAGGCTTTTTCCCACGTGTCAATTCACTAGCAACTTATTGTATACCTTGAATTTTTTTTTTTGGCAGGACACAGGCTTTATTGGAGGGAAGGGTACCCCTGCCGCCTGCTTCCAAGGAGAGGAGTGGAAGAGCTACCTTGAATTTCTTGAGAAATGCCATACTTGCACTCCTGCAACAAATTTTAATTCTGGAATGTTCTCCTTTCCTCGACTAGCCGAATTCTAGGCAGGAAGACCCTTAACACGCGTTGCACCTGTGAACATGCAAGATGGGCTACTGTGAGTCCCATCTTCGGGCTGCTGAGCACTCACATCGGCCTCCAGCCCTTGACAGCACGGAGCCCCCTACCAAGCGCTTTCCTTTCCTTCCCAACGTGGCAGCCCATCTCCTCCGTCTCCTCCATCTCCAAGCCCCGCGCAGCCCTGCTCCCGGGTAAGCCCGGCTCCTGCGGAGGTTCGCGTCCAACCTCCCCCAGGCGGCAGCCGGGCTCCCGAAGTGGTGGGGCGCGGAGCCACCCTCGGACCGAGCTGGGGTCCCCGCCACAGGGGCCATCCCCGCCACAGGGGCCATCCCCGCCACAGGGACCATCCCCGCCACAGGGGCCATCCCCGCCACAGGGGCCATCCCCGCCACAGGGACCATCCCCGCCACAGGGATGTCCCTCCCGCGCCCCCAACCCCGCTCACCGGGCGCCGCGGAGAGGCCGGGCCGCAGGACTCATGGGCTTCGGGGCTGAAGGCCGGCGGGCTGGACCCCAGCGGCCAGCGGCGCCAGAACAATGACCGGACAGGAAGTGCCTCGGCTGGACTTCCGGCTCCCGGAGTCGGCATGCCGGCCTCTCTAGGAGCCTGGGAGGTGCTTTCCTCTCGATGGGCATCCCATAGTGCCATGGATCTGGGATGGGAGCAGAAGCGCTTAGGAGGGGGATGCGGGTAGGCTGTGGCCCTGGGCTTCCGAGAGTGGGCATCCCCAGGCTGGGCAGGGGCAGTTAAAGGAGGCGAGCATCCAGGAGCTCGAAGTTACAAAGATTTCATCTGCAGAAAGCCCTGACAATTTTGCTCCAAATGTTTTATTTTGAAACTATCACACAGGTACTGAAAAAAGTTGAAAGATACAATACCTGTAGCCTCCATCTGGATTTATCAACCTTTGCTGCGTTTGCTTTGTGCCATAGCACATGCTGAAAAAACTTTTTTTTTTAAGTGGTAAACATCAAAACACTTCATTCCAAATACTTCAATATTCATCCTTTCATCATATTCTCCAAACACCTTCATTACAGGTAAGAAAAGTAGTAATTTCCTAATATCAACTAATATATTCAAAATTTCCCAACTGTCCTAAAATACGTATTTCATAATTTTGTTTTTCCAAATCAGTTTCTCACACTGCATCACTATCCTTAGTCTTTGTTTTTACTTTTTATTTTGAATTTAAAGTTTCATAGGAAGTTGCAAAGATACTACTACCCTTCACCTGGTTTCCCAAAATAGGTATATCTTACATAATTATATAAAAGTCAGAAAATCAACACTGGTACAATGTGTGAATCTACTTCTGTTATTTTATCATGATATGTATAGATTTGTATAATCAACACAATCAAGATACACAACTATTCCAACACTCCCAAGATTTCCCTTCCTCTCTCTGCTCCCTCCCACCATTTCCAACTTCTGGCAACCACTAACCTATTTTTCACTTATGTAGGTTTGTCATTTGAGGAAATTATGTAAATGGAATTTTGCTTTTTCACCTTTAGAGACTGGATTTTTCACTCAGCATGATTCACTTGAGTCATTGCAAGTATCAATTGATCACTACATTTTATTGCAGAGTAATTATTCCATTGTATAGATATGAGTTTGTTTAACCACCTACTGAAGGATATTTGGGTTACTTACAAATTTTGATTATGAAAAAAAAAGCTGCTATGAACAGTCATGTACAAGTTTTCATCTGAACATTAGATTTCACTTCAGTGGGATAAATGCTCAGGAGAGCAAATACTGGAAAGAAACTGCCAAACTCTTTTCCAAAGTGGCTGTACCATTTAACTTTCCTGGCAAATGAGATCCATTTTCTCCACATCCTTGCCAACATTTGGTGTTAAGCCATTTGTCTGTTCCAAAGCTATTCTATGCAGTTATTTTTAACTGGCATTCCCCTAATGATTAATGACGTCAAACTTTTCATTTGCTTATTTGCCATCTATACTTTGGTGAAATGTGTGACTGCTCATTTTTAAATTAAATCTATTGAGTTTGGAGAATTTTGTATATAGTATAAATATAAATCCTGTGTGGATGTATAATTTGTAAATATCTCATCCTCTTAATACTCTTTTATTATTTTTACTTTAAAAATTGATTTCAGAGAGGAAGAGGAAGAGGGAGAGGGTGAGACAGAAACATTAATGATGAACCATTGATCTGCTGCCTTCTGTACATCCCTCGGGCATATGCCCAAACCCGGAATCAAACCATGACCTCCTAGTTCATAGGCAGATGCTCAACCACTGAGCCATGCCAGAGCCTCAAGACTCTTTTAAAGAGCAAATATTTTTTTCCTCTTACGGGGCATTTAAAAAAAAATAAAAATCTAAGAATTCTTTGCTTAGTTCCCAACTAATTTATTTAGCCTATGGATATCCAATCGTTCCAACAGCATTTGCTGAAAAGTCCCTCCTCTGCTTAATTCCTTTTGTATCTTTGTCAAAAATCCAATTTTGCATTTGTGTGAGTCTACATTCCTGCTTTAGCATCTTTTTGATCTTTAGAATCTTTTAAAAGTTTATATTTTATTGATTTTAGAGAGAGGAAAATAGAAACATCAATGATGAGAATCATTGATCAGTTGAATCTTGCACACACCCCCAGTGGGATCAAGTCTACAACCCAGGCATGTGCCCCGACCAGGAATCGAAATGTGACCTTCTGCTTCATAGGCTGATGCTCAACCACTGTGCCATGTTTGGCTGATGATCTTTACTTAATCTTTTAAACCCAGCTTCCTAATTCACTTTTTATACCTTTTACTGTGTTAAATTTCATAAATATTGTATATAAAAGCAGAGAACAGTACAATGAACTCTTAATATTCATCCAGCTTCAAAGATTATCACCTCTCCCTTTTTCCTCATTGTCATTTTGAAGAATACAGTGCATTCCGTATCTAAATTTCTTTCTCTTGGTGTCATTTACCTTGTTCTGCTTCCTGTGTGTCCTGTAAACTGGCAATCTGGTCTAAGAAGCTTGATGAATTCAGGTTATACTTCTGGCTTACTGTATCTCATGAAGAGGCACATTATATGGGTTGTTTCAGCCTTAGTAATGCTGCATTTTCATTGGTTAAGAGGTAAATGCTAGTTTTTCCCATTCTTAAAGAACATTTACCTTTGTACTTATTACATAATCTGGGGTGATTCTTCTGCAGCTGGATATAATGCAATTTCATATTCGTTACCTTGTAACAACTTCATGAGGTAGATATTCTTCCTCCTGCTTAAAAGACGAGGAAATCAAAGTTCTAAGAAATGAAGGCATTTGTCCAAGAAAACTTGCAGCATCTAACTCATAACCAGGCCCATTCCAGTATTCACTTTTGGGTACCTTCATTCTAATGAGGAACCAGCCCTCAAGGAACTTTGGAGTTGAATTAATAATTATTATAATCAACATACCACTTCAATACTACTAGTAATTAGGAAACACAATGCTGATATTAATAGTCCAACTACAGAATTGGAGTTTGAGAATGACAACATAAAAGTATGAACTCAAGAATATAGGCTGAATTAAATTTATAAATGTACAAATGTACAAAAGGGAAAACTGAATGAATTGTTTTAAAGGGAATAATGGGCTTGACAGTTCAGAAATGGATTCTGAACTCGTTTAATTAGAACTTGAAGGGCTCAGCTCTGTATGAAGTTTGTGTAGATGAGTGCTGGGACAGAATGTTATTTCCTGAGTAAAAAGCTATCTCATGTCAATAGTGATAAAGAAATTGAGGACAACGGCAGGGACAATCAGCTCATGGTTTGGGGTTAAGGACTTTCCCCTATGAATAAGGTAAGCAACATAGGACTGCCCTTCCATTCTGATACCCTACATACACTAGGTTTCAAATTCGAAGGTTGAAAAGAAATTGTTCGCGTTGGTATCAGTGTTAACAGGTGACATATTATTTTTCCATAAGCCAGTATTATCTAAAAACAAACTAGGGTCTATTAACTCCCTTAAACATTAAAAAGGATAATTTTCCAGTTGTTCAAGCAAACAACCTAAAATTCATTTTTTTTTAATTGATTTGAGAGGAAGAGAAACATTGATTCATTGCTCCCCATATGCACCCCGGGCTTGGGATCAAACCTGCAATCTAGCTATGTGCACTGACCAGGAATTGAACTGGCAAGTTTATGGTGTAAGGGATGCCACTTCAACCAACTGAGCCACCAGCCAGCGTTCCCTTAAACACTTTTTTTGTAGGGGGAGTTAATCCTTACTTGAGGATATTTTTCCATTAATGTTTTTTAGGGAGAGTGGGAGAGAAAGATAGAGAGAAACACTGATATGAAAGAAACACATAGATTGGTTGCCTCCTGCATGAGCCCTGACCAAGGGCCCAGGCGGGGAAGAAGCCTGCAACTATGGCCTTGACTGGAATCAAACCTGGGACCTTTTGGTTTGCAGGCCGATGATCTATACACTGAACCAAACTAGTTAGGGCCCTTTATACGTTTTTAAAGCTGTATTTTTTTTTTTTTAAGTTTTCTTCCAGAGATAAATTCCAGTTACTTATCCACCGCATTTCATCTTATTATAAAAATGAATACCTTTTGAGGTTCACAGAGTCGAATATTAACTAATGAACAAACATTACATTATGCTGTGTTCTAGACTGACTATACCATTTATCCAACTTTACTGGCAACTAAATTACTTCACAAAGTACTGTCACAAAGATTCTTTCACCTAATCCTCTTAATAATCCTTTGAGGTAGACATTATGTTAATATGTGATATGTAATAATCTAACTTGAGACTTATATGATGATGTAATAACAACATATTGCTAGTAAGAGAAAGGGTCAGGACCTAAACCTAGGACTTCTGATTCCAAATCCAGTGCTCTTCTTATATTATTCTCAAACAGCAGGCTCTTGCTCACCCAACTCCATGTCTGATATGTCTCAATCATATTGTCCATATAGACATTCTGCAGCAGTGATTCTATCTTTAAAATGTATAATATATACATTTTGAGAAACAACTTCCACTTTTTAATACAAAGACATTTTTGCTACCGCTTTTAACATCATTACATCCCATAAATCCAATTTTTTCAGAGTCCTCAATTGCTCCAAGGTCTCTTTCTGGGTCATAATAAATTGTCTGGAACAGAGTATACTTTAACTAGAATTTAGTTTGTTTTTGTATTCTTGAAAATCTACAATAACCTTCTTTCATATGCAACTCATTTGAATATAATGGAGGCAATCATGAATTTTTTTCTTATATGAACCACATATTGCCATTTCTCCAATAATTAAATAGGCAGGCGTTCCATCCCATTTTAAATACGTTTTCTGAATCTCTAACTTGGACTCAGCTCATTGGCATTTTGAAGCCAAGAGAATTCTTCCAGGGTCTGGATTTTTTGTTGAAGATGAAGGTTTGAAGCTTGTGAGAATTCTTTTTCAGACTCATCACATTCACAGAGATTTTCAACTGTATGAACTTTCTGATGCACAGTAAGGTTTTTCCTTTGCCTAAAAACTTTGTTACAATCATTACACCCATATGGTTTCTCCCCTGTGTGGATTCTCTGGTGGCCAACTAAATTCCTCTTAGAAGTAAAAGATTTTCTACACTTCTCACACTCATATGGTTTTTCCCCAGTGTGCATTCTCTGATGTACAACAAGGTTTTTATTCTGACTAAAGTCTTTTCCACACTCATTACATTTATAAGGTTTCTCTCCAGTGTGGATTCTCTGATGTACCATGAGATTTCTGCTAGAGGTGAGGACTTTTCTACATATATGACATTCGTAGGTTTTTTCCCCACTGTGAATTCTTTGATGTTCAATAAGGTTTCTGTTGTACGTAAAGCCTTTCCCGCACTCATTACATGCATAGGGCTTCTCACCAGTGTGCATCCTCTGATGGGCTGTAAGGTTTGAGCGGTAACTGAAGACTTTCCCACAGTCACTGCATTTGTAAGATTTTTCCCTTGTGTGAATCCTCTGATGTCCAATGAGGCTTTTCTTCAGAATGAAGCATTTGCCACACTCGTTACACTCGTAGGGTTTCTCCCCACTATGGATTCTCTTGTGCTCAATGAGATTTCTGTTAGAACTGAAAGCTCTTCCACATTCACAGCATTCAAAGGGTTTTTCCCCAGTGTGGATTCTCCGATGTACCAACAGGCTTGACTTGTAACTGAAAGCCTTCCCACAGTCCTCACATTTGTAGGCTTTTTCCTGTGTATGAAGTTTCTGATGGACCATGAAACTCTTGCTCATAACGAAGGTCTTCCCACACTCTGGACATTCATAGGGCTTCTCCCCATTGTGGAGTCTCTCGTGGTCAATCAGGTTTCTGTTAGAACCAAAGACCTTGCCACAATCTTTACATTCATAGAGATTCTCTCCAGTGTGGAACCTCTGATGTAGAATGAGGCTTTTCTTTAGAATGAAAACTTTCCCACATTCATTACATTCATAGGGCTTCTCCCCATTGTGTAGTCTCTGGTGGTCAAAAAGGTAAGCACTCTGAGTGAAGGCTTTCCCACATTCAGTACATTTATACGGCTTCTCTCTGCTATGCATCCTCTTATGGTCAATGAGATTTGACTTAGAATTGAAAATCTTGCCACATTTTTTGCAACCAAAGGTCTTCTTTTCTGTGTGTACTCTCTGGTGTAAAAGGAGGCTTTTACTTCGAATGAAAACTTTTCCACATTCTTTACATTTGTACGGGTTCTCTGCACTGTGCAGTCGCTGGTGGTCAACAAGGTAAGTGGTCTGAGCAAATGTTTTTCCACATTCATCACATTTGTAGGGTTTTTCCCCAGAGTGGATTCTCTGGTGCAGAATAAGGCTCTTCTTCAGGATGAAAGCTTTCTGACACTTGTTACATTTATAAGGTTCTTCCCCTTTGTGGAGCCTCTGGTGGTCAATGAGGTAAGCATTCTGAGAGAAAACTTTCCCACATTCATTACATTTATAAGGTCTCTCCCCAGAGTGGCGCCTCAGATGTATAATAAGGCCCGAATGCCTATAGAAGCCCTTCCCACACTCCTTACATTTATAAGGTTTCTCCCCAGTGTGGATTCTCTGATGGTTTAGAAGGTAAGCACTTTGAGAGAAGGCTTTCCCGCATTCGTTACACTTATAAGGTTTCTCCCCAGAATGGTTCCGTAAATGCATCAGAAGGCTTGAACGCTGAATAAAGCCTTTTCCACACTCCTTACATTTATGAGGTTTCTCACCAGTGTGGATTCTCCGGTGGTTTATAAAATGGGAGATTTTACTGAAATGTTTATAACATACATCACATTTATAAAACTTCTTTCCTTCAGTATCCATTAAACTTTCAGAAAGAGCTGGATCTGAACCTAGAGTCAAGCTTTCTCCAAATTCCTCCCACTTCTGGCCTCGTTTTTCTGGCAGAGTCCTTTTCTTCTTGTCTCGTTCATAGAGGGAACATCTCTTCAGTGAATTTCTTTCACTTGATTCATTTCCCCACTGACTTGCCGAAACTTGCCATGCACACTCTTTCTCAAAATCAAGGATTTGGGGAATACCTCCTTGAAGTCTTCTTGATGTTTCTTTCTGAGAATCTGCTCTATGAGATATGCTTGACTTTGCTGATACCTCCTCATTCTCAGTCATGGTCTCCCATTCTGGTAAAAAGAATAAAAAATGCAAATGTTACCAAATCTTTGTTAGTGAGAACAAATCTTCAAACAACTTTAACAAGCTAGAAGGATACATATTTATATGCATACAAAAAGGATAAACTTTTCATTAAACACAGGTTCAAAGCAGAATGCTATACTGATAGAATGTTATAAATGGATTAACAGAACTCACCTGCACCTAACAGATGCACCTAATGCTTTGTCTTCAGGGGGCAACTGAAAAATATATTGATGTTGAAAACATAGATGTAAGGAAGAATAAGAGAGAACATGCGATTTTATATAGGTGGTTCAGATTTGAGGAACAGGAAGTTGGATGGAAAAAGAAGCATCATTTGACTTATAAATAACTGTTTTTATTTTCTTTTTGGGAAGATGGAAACTCTAAAATAAATATATATATCTAAAGATTCTGAAAGGCATTGTTAAATGTTGAAGAGTCAACTATATAAACACTTTTTAATTACTTGAAAGTAATTAATTTGAGGGGGAAAGCCCATTAAAAAGCAACTTAAGCCCTAATCTGTAGATAGAGTGTTGGCCTGCAGACTGAAGGGTCTCTGGTTCGATTCCAGTCAAGGGCATGTACCTTGGTTGCAGGCACATCCCCAGTAACAGTTGTGCAGGAGGCAGCTGATCGGTGTTTCTCTCTCATAGATGTTTCTAGCTCTCTAACCCTCTCCCTTCCTTTCTGTAAAAAATCAATAAAATGTATTTAAAAAGAAAAGAAAATAGCTAACTGAATTATGGCACAAATTATGTAACCAATATAGATAATACTTGCAAACACTTTTTTAATTTTACTATTTTTTTACAGAGAGAAAGGGAGAGGGATAGAGCAGAGGTTGGCAAAACTCATTAGCCAACAGACCCAAATATCAACAGTACAATGATTGAAATTTCTTTTGAGAGACAAATTTTTTAAACTAAACTATATAGGTAGGTATATTGTTATTAACTTAATTAGGGTACTCCTAAGCTGGTCTTTGATAAAAAAGGGGCCAAAGAGCCGCATGTGGCTCACAAGCCACAGTTTGCTGAGCACTGGGATAGAGAGTTAGAAACATTGATGAGAGAGAAACATCAATTAGCTGCTTCCTGCACACCTCCTACTGGGGATGTGCCCACAACCAAGGTATATGCCCTTGACCAGAATCAAACCTGGGACTCTTGAGTCCGCAGGCCGACACACTATCCACTGAGCCAAACCGGTAAGGGTTGCAAAGAATTTTTAATAATATGAGAACGCAAAAAAAAAAGGCAAGCTTTAAAACTGTACGCGTGCACACACACACACACACACACACACACACACACTGATAACAATGTAAAAAAAACTTCAAATAGCCCTAACTGGTTTGGCTCAGTGGATAGGGCATTGGCCTGAGGACTGAAAGGTCCTGGGTTTGGTTCCAGTCAGGGGCCTATGCCTGGGTTGCAGGCTCAATCCCTATTGGGAATGTACTGGAGATCCGACCAATGATTCTCATCGTTGATGTTTCTCTTTCTCTTTCTCTCTCCTTCTCCCTTCTTCTCTGAAACCAATGAAGAAATATATTTTAAAAAAAGAAAAAACAACAACTCAAATACATAGAAAAAAGCAGAAATATATTAAAACTTGTAGCCCTGTGCCGAATCACTGTGCTAGTAGCTCTAAGCAGGGCTGAGCTGCTCTGTGCCCGCTGGCCAGAGGTTCTCCAGGGCCCAGAGGCCCATCCACACCCCGGAGTGGCCAGAGGCCCATCTGTGGCCAAGCACAAAACGCTTGCCTCGTTGCCTGGTGATGAGGCAATTGTCCACCTTCACCCCCCTGACCACTTCATGCCTGCTGCCCAGAAGCCTTCTGTGGTTGAGGTGGAATGCTTGCCTCTGGAATTCCACCAGGCTGCTCACACTGCCCGCCCTCAGTGCCATCCCCCGGACTGCGGGAATCTGGCGGGGCTGAGAGGACTGGGCACTGCCATCTTGAGGCTATGGGTGCCACCATCTTTGAGACGGAGTGATGATTACCCTTTTATTAGGAGGATTTTGGTAACTGTGTATGAGTTGTGGGTTTAAGGAAGACTTGTTCTTTTCTAACGTTTTGTTTTCCAAAATAAGTATACACTATTTTCATAATCAGAAAATAAGCAAAAGCTGATAATAAAGGTAAGAATCCTGGGACAGAAAGCCTTACCCAAGGAGGTCACATTTCCATAGTTCTCCAGCATCACATCCCAATACAAGGCCCTCTGCACTGGGCCCAGGCATGCCCATTCCTCCGCAGTGAAGTACACTGACACCTCCTCCAACATCACCAACTCCTGAAATAACAGGTATGTGTGTGGTTATCCATGCCCAGAGGTTCCTTTCACACTGTGAGGTCATGAGGTGGGCAAGGGATATCAGCGATATAGGAAGGCCCCACATAGAGTCTGCCTTCATATAGCATGGACCTTGATTCAGAGATGGGAACTGGACACTAAGCACTAGGATGAGAGAGGGCAATTGATGATAACGTTAGGTGGTTCAGATAGATCCTTAGGAAGGAAAAAGGATGCAAACCTCACCTGGGGCTGGGCTGTTAGGAGCATGAGTGCCATCAACTGATTTCTTGGATTCTCTTCCTGAGAAAGGGCAGAAGCTTCAGGGGCAGGAGAATCTGAGGAAGGAGGAAAAGCAGCATTGAGATTTCTGCTGTCCCTGCCGACTACTCCAAGTTCAATATCTATACAGGTGAGGGGGCAGTGCCTGGCCAAGTCAGGGTGCCAGGCAGGGCTGCGAGGCTGGGGGCACGAGTTGGGGCCCAATCTCTGCAGGCCACCCCAAGGGACCCCACCGGTGCACAAATTCATACACCAGGCCTCTAGGTTTGTGTGTGTGTGTCTCTCCCTCTCTCTTTCTCATATATATATATATATTCACACACACATACACACACACACACACACACACACATATATACACACACACATACACACACACACACACACACACACACACACACACACACCGTATTTTCTGGTGTATAAGACGACTCCCTAATTTTACAGTTAAAACATAGGTTTAGGCCTATGTTCGCTGTATAAGACTACCCCCCACTTCAAGGAAAAGACTTACTTTGCCGTCACGATCTGCAGGTAATTTTTGTGCAATTTTGGTCTTTTGCCACCAATTTTCGGTTGACTTTTTTTCGTTTCAAACGTCGTCTTATACGACGGAAAATACGGGGGGGGGGTGTGTGTGTGTGTGTGTGTGTGTGTGTGTGTGTGTGCGCGCGCATAAGAGACGAGCAGACCAATAGCTATGATGTTCACTGACCACCAGGGGGCAGATGCTCAGCACAGTGATTTGGCAGCTGCGGTTCTCGGGTGACAAGCCCAATTCTGGGGTGCATCACCTAAGAACTGCCCTCTCACAATCTAGGACCCCTTCAGAGATGTTGGGGAGCCAGTTTCAGCCCAATCTCCACAGGCCAGGCCAAGGGACCCGCATGGGGCCTCTAGTCTTCTATCAACAAGGAATTCAGAAAAATCCTAAACTCTCATGCAGGGGCAATGATGGCTATAAAGTGACCTACAAACCTCCCATGTACAGGGCTGGGATAACACACAGAGCATTAATAGGGATTATAAAAGGTCAGAGACCCAGAAAAGGACAGGAGGGAGAACAGAAAGAGCTTGTCACGACAAAGAATTCATACAAAGGAGAGGAGAGGAAGCAAACCACCTGGGAGTGGAGGGATAAACCACTGTAAAGGCCCAAGAAAAGAAAGGAAACCCAAAGCCAGGGCTACTAAATAAGTACCATGTTGAGGATCCTGGAGGTTGAACACAGCTGGATCAGTAAGAGGATTTGGGCAAATTTCAGCCGGTAAGTGGCTCCCTGGGGGTGCCTGAGGATGTGCCGTTCCTGGCATGCTCCTGGCCTCCTGATCCTGGACAAGGACTGGAACCTGGGAACAAACAAAACAAAATAAGCTGGCTCTTCTTGTACCTCCAGAAAATCAACTCACCTAACCACCGTGGACCTCTTTCTGCCCATAACCTGGAACTGTGAGATCAGAGACCCACTCCAAGTATGGAGCATCAGAACAGCAGAAAGCCTTTGCCTTGAGAACAATGGAGCTGCCTTCGAGCCCCACTCATGGCACCGGTCACCTCTCCCAGAAGAGACTGAACAAAACAGTGGAAACAGAAGCCAGACGTGCGTGAGGGTTAGGGAGGGAATGGGAAGTAACAAGCAATAATTAAGAGCATGTGTTTTAGCTTCGGACCTAGTTTTAGACACTCTTCTACTTATACATCCCTTTACTTATCCCTTCCTGCTCCCATAGAGGGAACACTAGAGTAAGAGTCAAAACATGTGGTTTTGCTGCCAGCTACATGTTTGGCCTAAGGCAATCCAGCGAACTTTCTGCCTGTTTTCTTATCTCTCAAAAGAGGCAGATGTATTAGTGATGTTTCATGAAATATATAGCTCCAAAATTCTCCATTTTTTATGATTAAACAGAGCCCATCTTTGGTGCCACTGCCAAGGTGAAATTCTGTTTCAGACTTCTAACAGAAATATTTCTAGATTGACAGAGATCTCACATACACACACACACACTAGGAACTATATAAGATCCCAACTTAATAGTCAAGGATATACTATCTTATCAGAAGCAAATATCTCCACCCAATCCTGACTCACAGAAACCCAAGTAGGGGAACACGTGGCAGAGTCTCGCCAGATCTAGAAAGATTCATTCTTATTTTCTCTCTGCCTTTTAACTTGAGGTTCACATCATCATTGCAAACAAAGAATACATATGCTCTGTTCAGGGGAACATTTAGCAACCTTATGTTCTTCAGGCTCTTGAACCAAGCTCAGCATTAGCAAGCATCACCCAGGACGGAGTGCAGTCAATGACTTTGTGCTGATTCTGAACTGGGCCCAAAGACCCCACTCATAAATTTAATTAATTGCAAAGATACCCTATCGTCTGACTAGCTCATGAACCTGTTCTAATTACCATTAGGGCTGCTAATATGCTATTGCTTTTTGTTTTTAAATATATATATTTTATTGATTTTTTTACAGAGAGGAAGAGAGGAATAGATTAGAAACACCAGTCAGCTGCCTCCTGCACACCTCCCACAGGGGATGTGCCCGCAACCAAGGTACATGCCCTTGACTGGAATCGAACCTGGGACCTTTCAGTCCACAGGCCGAAGCTTTATCCACTGAGCCAAACAAGTTAGGGCTTAATATGCTATAGTTAATGAAAAACCACACACTCACTCCAGTCCTGCCTCAATTTTCTCCTTCCTTCCATCCCAAACTCCTCCCCTCGTCCTTCTCACTTTTTTTTTTTATTAATATATTTTATTGATTTTGTACAGATAGGAAGGGAGAGAGATAGAGAGTTAAAAACATCGATGAGAGAGTCATCGATCAGCTGCCTCCTGCACACCCCCTACTGGGGATATGCCCGCAACCAAGGCACATGCCCTTGACCGGAATTGAACCCGGGACCCCTCAGTCCCCAAGCCGACGCTCTATCCATTGAGCCAAACCGGTCTCGGCCGTTCTTTCTCACTTTTAGCACTGGTCCATCGAGGTCTTTCTGCACCTCTTCCACCAGGGCCACGGCCTCCTCACCACTTCCAGGGCGATGGATCTGCACCCAGGTCCGAATCTCCCCGGGCAGGATGCTCAGGAACTGCTCCAGCACCAGCAGCTCCAGGATCTGGGCCTTGGTGCGCGCTTCCGGCCTCAGCCAGCGGCGACAGAGCTCCCGGAGCCGGCTCAGCGCCTCCTGGGGCCCAGCCGTCTCGTGGTACCGCAACTGTCTAAAGTGCATTTGGGAGGTCTCCCAAACGGAGGAGCTGCTCCCTTGGAAGCTGGTTCCCCATTTCCAGGTATCGTCCTTCCCTTTAACAAGACCCTCCTGTCTCAGAGCATTGTGGGCCCAAGCTTCCCTTGTCATTGTCTTTAGTTGAGAAAGCCTCTTCTCTGGGCCCCCTCAATCCTGGCTTGACTTCTTCCTTTAGAGCTTGGAGAACATCACCTGCAAAACTTCAAAAAAAATCATTGTTAAAGTTAATGCAGTGAAACCACCAAGTTTTCCAGCCCCCAGGCAGCTCCCAGTGATGAAGAGAAAATCCCTAAATGCAAGGTCCTAGGCTCGCAGCAGTTCCTCCCTGGACAAAGCCCCTGCTCAAGGCTCTGGGGACAGGCAGCCAGACCGCTGCTGAAACCACAGACATGAAATTCCTTTGGTTGTTACAACGACTCCTTCCTTTATCCAAGACTGCAACAATGGGCATCTTGGCTGGCCCTGTGTGGTTTTATTTTTTTTAAAATATATTTTTACTGATTTCAGAGAGGAAGGGAGAGGAGGAGAGAGACAGAAATGTCAATGATGAGAATCATTGATTGGCTGCCTCCCTCATGCCCCACACAAAGATCAAGCCTGCAACTCGGGCATGTGCCCTTGTCCAGAATCAAACCTGGAACCCTTCAGTCTGCAGGCCAACGCTCTATCCACTGAGCCAAACCGGCCAGGGTGCCCTGTGTGATTTTAAACAAGTTACCTCACTTCTGAGTCTGTCTTTTAACCTGAAAAATAGGGGTAATAACAGTTTCTATTTTATATGCTTTTTTTAAGCATTTGATGTCTAAGTACACTGTAAGTTTTTGGTCAGTGCCTGGTATATTCAAATGTTAGTTAACCTTCTGTAACTTGCATTCTTTCCTATGTTCTGTTCTATGGAGTCAACAAGTAACCATGGTCTTAATCCTGATACAATTTTCTTATTACAAAACAGAAAATTTGAAAAACCAGAAAACACACAAGAAACCAGGAATAATCCCTGCTATGTTCAGAGCAGTGTTCTCTCCAATTTGGAGCACAAGACTGGATCCAACTGGACTGCTCTGGAACTGACTTCCCACATGTATTGCTGTGAACATAATATCAAGTAGTCATCATTATTTTTAAGAGCACATGAGTTCATTCATACTTAGAGTTCCCTGTTATTTTACGTTTATATTGTTATTATTTCCCCCTATTATAAATTAGGCCACAATAACTATCCTTGCTAATAAGTTTTTGGTTACAAATCTTTTTATCTTTTCAGGAAAAATTTCTTGAAAAAACAACAACTGTTGGGCCAAAAAAGGTATAGTTTTAATTACCTTTTTAGCCCTAGCCAGTTTGGCTCAGTAGATAAGAGCATTGGCCTGCAGACTGAATGAAGGGTCCCAGGTTCGATTCCTGTCAAGAGCATGTACCTTGGTTGCGGGCACATCCCCAGTAGGAGGTGTGCAGGAGGCAGCTGATCAATGTTTCTCTCTGTAAAAAAAAATTTTTTCCCTCTCTGTAAAAAATCAGTAAGATATATTTTAAAAATAAAATAAGTAAATACCTTTTCATATATCACTGATACATATGCGTTATAGCTGTATCAGTGATAGAGGATAGCACCTTCATTAATTTTATTTAGCATGCTTATAAGTGAGCAATGGAGGCAAAAATATAAATACAATTTCAATATAATGTGTAAGTATAATTAATAGGAGGGCAAACAAGCACAGAAGGAATTGTTTTTGTAAAAATAAGTAAACCAACAAATAAGATAATTTTTTTTTTTTTAAATCAGCAGTGCTTGGACCAGAATGGTCATGTTTGAAAACTGGCATTGGAAAAAAAAAAAAAAAAAGTATTCATTTCTGTAGAATCTTTCAAATTTTGAAAATGAACATATGTTAATAAACACTGACTTTACAATCACTCAAAGTGTGTATACTTTTTTTTTTTTTTTTTGGGGGGGGGGAGGAACATCCTGTATATTTTCTAAAGTAATGGCACAGGTAGTCTGTTTGCTTTTTAAATCCCATTATATTACAAAATTAAAGGATGGGCCGGGACCGGTTTGGCTCAGTGGATAGAGCGTCGGCCTGCGGACTGAAAGGTCCCGGATTCATTCGATCCCGGTCAAGGGCATGTACCTTGGTTGCGGGCACATCCCCAGTAGGGGGTGTGCAAGAGGCAGCTGATCGATGATTCTCTCTCATCGATGTTTCTAACTCTCTGTCCCTCTCAATTCCTCTCTGTGTAAAATCAATAAAATATATTTTTAAAAAAATAAAAAATAAAAAAATTAAAGATGGGACTTGGTCCATCCATCCCTCCGGGAAGAGAAAAAAGTCCCATTAGTCCGAGCGCCTCTGCAGGTGCGTCTGGGCGCCGCCTCGGAGAGGACTGGGGAGCGCAGCCCGGCCGGGGCCGGGGACCCCGGTTGCGCCCTCCCCGGGGCCCCGCGTGCCATGGGCTCGGGCGCGGGGCCACACCCAGGCCCCCGGTGCTGTCCGCACAGCCTCCCGGCGGCAGCTGCCCGAGCCCAGGCCGCAGCGCCCACCTCCTCTCCGGGCCGAGGACGGACGCCCGGCCGGGGTCAGCGCGGGGAGGACAGCGCCCCCGGGCGCCCTCGGCGCACGCCCACCCGCCCCCGGCGCACGGCTCACCCGGCTCCCGCCGCGGCTCCGGCTCCGGCTCCGCTCCGGCCGCCGGGGCCGGGAAGTGACTGCAGAACTAGACGAGCCGGCAGCGGAGGCCCCGGAAGGATGCGGAGGCGGATGTCCGCGCGGAGCCCCGACTTCCGGCTGCTCGCCACGCCCACCCCCAGCCGTCTAGGTCTAGGAAGCCACGTCTCTATGGCTCCTCCACTGGAGGCTGGAGTGGCTGGGCACGGCGGCCCTGGGGTCTCGGTTCCTCCCAGGGAAGGGGTGGTAGGGCTGCTGCGTTTCCGACGGGAAGGATGCGGGAGGAGCACGCGGCCCCCAGGCCCCTAGGACGCCTGTGGCCTCCAGAAGGAGCTGGACCTGTTTTAGTTTGCATGTACGTTGAGGTTGTTTGGGAGTCATTTCTCATATTGACCTCCTGGGCACCTTTTCCTCTCTATTCTTGAACATATGCATTTCTTTAAAATAATAATAATAATGATATATTTTTATATAGCTCATACCCCTCGCCCTCTCTCTGAAATAAATAAAAATGTATTTTTAAAAGAAACCACCAGGAATCTCTGCTGAATTCTGTGGTTACGCCAACACTGCAAATAGAACAGCATTTTCTTTCACACTCTGTAAACTGGTTGCAAATTTGTCATGATTTTACAAACTTTGGTGTATGTCTCAATAATTTTGTGATTCACAGGCTCTTCTGAGGAAAAATGAATAATTATTACAAAAACAGTCATGTGAGGAGAGAAGGCTCCTAATGGAATATTTTCTTCAATCCCCACTGAGAAAGTTTTGTTTTATACAGATTCCTAGGCCCTGCTCCAGTTGAGCTGATTTGGTGGGCCTGGGAAATGTGTTTGAATGTGTGAAATTACCTGCAGTGAATCCCAGATTTGGGGTCCACTGGCCTTAGTTTCAAAAACTGCATACAGCTTTTTCTTTTTTTAATATATTTTATTGATTTTTGTACAGAGAGGAAGGGAGAGAGATAGTTAGAAACATCGATGAGAGAGAGTCATCGATCAGCTGCCTCTTGCACACCCCCTACTGGGGATATGCCCGCAACCAAGGTACATGCCCTTGACCGGAATCGAACCCGGGACCTTTCAGTCCCCAAGCCGACGCTCTATCCATTGAGCCAAACCGGTTTCGGCTGCATACAGCTTTTTCATGTCTGCAATCCACAAAAAATGTGCCACGTGGACTTGAAATGGTCACTGGGAGCCGAAACCAATTTGGCTCAGTGGATAGAGCCTTTGGACTGAAAGGTCCCAGGTTTGATTCCGGTCAAGGGCATGTATCATACCTGGGTTGTGGGCACATCCCCAATGGGGGGTGTGCAGGAGGCAGGTGATCGATGTTTCTCTCTCATCCATGTTTCTAACTTTCCCTCTCTCTTCTTCTCTGTAAAAAATCAATAAACTATATTAAAAAGAAAAGAAATGGTCACTGGGAGTAGTGAGAACGAGCCAGGTCCTGTATCTACGCGTCAGAAAGGAGCCTGCCATCTCCTTTTTGGCCCCTCACAAACCTACCTTCTGATGCCAGGATGGACTTTGGGAACATGCAGGTTTCATTCAGCCACGGAAGGTCCATGTAATAGTACAGGTTTGAAACTCAGATGAGGCCAGAGAGGAGGTGGGACACGTGGCTGTACAAGTTTTTAGAGAAACGAACAGAGGACACTATCTAATGGCTCCTGAACTCTCATTTACATATTACCAGTATGAAAACAAGCACATATTTTAATCTGAAATAAGCCAGAATCACTTCTTCATTCCAAAGGTATCGGCTTATAGAAAAGTAAAGTGAACTGTTTCCTATTCTGATCAAAGAAATTAAGCAAAAAGAAAAAGAAAAATCGGTGATATTTATAACAAATAAATAACAGATATTTATTGGCAAAATTATAACTATTTCTTGCAAAAAGTTTTATGACTCCAGTTTTATAACTTCAGAGGTAATTAAAAAGTCTAGTTTCTAAAAATAATCTAATAATATGAGGATACTATTTTATCTATATTCAATTAAAAAACAATGAAGTCTGTGGCAGAGGCTACAGAGTTAAAATTTAGTCTTCTGGGATTTAGGTTCAACAGAATTACTCAGCTATTTTATGCTCCTTGTGGTTTCAGTTTTCTTCTCAGTTCCGAGTGAGACCTGACACAGTACACGCCATCAGTGAAAAGTATCTCTAAGCCTAGGGAGACACTGCCCTCTCTATGCAAGAATCTTTCATATTTCCCTTTAATCAGGACGTAGATACAGGACCTGAAAGAAGAGACTTTCACACTTTTTCTCAAAAACAAAAAGAAACATAATTACCTGGCCAGTGTGGCACAGTGATTGAGCACTGACCCATGAACAAGGAGGTTGCAAGTTCGATTCCAGGTCAGGACACATGCTTGGGTTTCGGGCTTATCCCCAATCAGAGGGGAGTGCAGGAGGCAGCCAATCAGTACTTCTCTCTCATTGATGTTTCTATCTCTCTATCCCTCTCCCTTCCTCTCTCTAAAAAAAAAGAAACATATGTATTTCTATTCCACACAAGAATAATTCTACACAACCAAGATGCCTGTGGCTAAAAATAATGCCTCTTCATATTCCCAAGGATTCTGTCCGATCCCCTGAATGCACTAATCTGTTCCAGACCCTCTAAACCTTGCTTTGAGTAATTATGCAAGGAGGGACTATTATATAATAAAATTATGTGTAAGACACTATCTTATGAAAAGCCACCCCTAGCCGGTTTGGCTCAGTGGATAGAGCGTCAGCCTACAGATCAAAAGATCCCAAGTTCAATTCCAGTCAAAGGTTCTTTACACCTGAAAATATCCTAAATGCCACTCTGGGGAAAACTCTTCTGGAACCGCTCTTGCTAAGTGTTTAGAAACACTGCTCCAACGTCCTATACTTAAGCAATCATCATTTACCACATGTAGAGCTGGTCATACGTTACATGCATTATTATCTCATTGAATACGACAACCCTGTGAGGTAGGGAGTCAGTCCCTTCTTACAGATACATCTGAAGCCAAGCTAGTGTGTCAATTTGGCAACAGAACACGTGTCTCCAACCCCAAAGTCTACACTGTTAGCTACTAAACTACATAACATGTGAATGCATCTTCTCCTGCTCTTATGATTACACTATCTCTTGAAAGCTTTTGGACCTGCAATTATTTCAGTTTTGTAAGGACACGTCTTGCTGGTTTTGTAGACATGTTGAGCAGATGGAGCCTTGACGGATCTGTTATCTGTGGATCCATCTACAACTGTGGGAGAGGAGGATATAGTAAATGTTTGCTGCGTTCTAATAAGCTAACTGTGTAAATGGATATAAAGTCAGCTTGTCGTAAAGCTGAAAAAAGGCCCAGGACTGGTGTTTATGCTTTTACTGAACAGGAAACAGGCTCTAAAAGGAAGTGGCTTGCTCATGGTTGCACTGCTACCACGTGGCAGTGTGTGGATTTTAGAGTCTATGTTCCATGCACCTTGCCTAACACTATTTAGTGAAAATGGGCATGTACTAATCACATTTTTAAAATACTATACTTTCTCCTAAATATAAAACTAGTACATTCTCATTGTAGAAAATCTAAAAAATACAGGAAAGTGGTAAAGGAGAAAATAGAAATCATTTATAAACCTATCACCCAGAGATAATCCCTGTTAAGATTTTAGTTTGGCATTTATTTCCACTTTTTCCCTATGCATAGATGTGTTTTGTTTTGCTTATAATTTAGATCATATTTCATTGTTTTTTTGTGTTTTTTTTTTATCTTCCACTTTATCCAAATCATTTCCCCCATGGCATTAAATATTCTTTTACAAATCTTTACAATGGCTGCAAAACCACTCTATGGATAGACTGTCATTCATTTAAACCCTGTAACCATTAAAAAAAAAAAACTAGTTTTCTCCCTTCAATTATATACCTTGCTGGTATAAATTTCTCTTCTGCTAATCCGTGTCTATTTCTGACTACTTTCCTTTTATGGATTCTCAGAAATAGAGTTAAGGTAGATGATACTAAAAAACTGCTTTTCTGAGAATTAGCAATTAGTCCTACCAACAATATATGTTATTTATGAGGTCTCCGTCTCCTCAGTATGCTTTCTCTGGTGTTGAATAAGTTGTGAGCTATAACGATAGGCTTTCCCACACTCACTGCATTTATAAGGTTTCTCCTTAGTGTGGGTTCTCAAATGTAGAATAACTTGAGAAGTCTGCCTGAAGGTTTTCCCACATTCATTACATTCATAGGGTTTCTCTCCCGTGTGAACTCTCTGATGATCAATCAGGTTTCGATTAGAAGTAAAAGCTTTCCCACACTCCTTACACTTGTAAGGTTTCTCTCGTCGATGAAGTCTCTGATGTTCATGAAGGGTCTTCCTTAAGATGAAAGCTTTTCCACACTCATCACATTCATAAGACTTCTCCCCTGTGTGAATTCTCTGATGGTCCATGATCTTTGTATCAGACACACATGTTTTCCCACACTCCTTACATTTGTAGACTTTTTTCCCTCTGTGCATTCTCTCATGCTGGGTAAGGTTTGAGCTCCGGCTAAAGGCTTTCCCGCACTGGACACACGTGTAGGGCTTCTCCCCAGTGTGTACTCTGTGATGTGAAATGAGACCTGAACTCTGACTAAAAGCTTTCCCACACTCCTTACATTCATAAGTCTTTTCCCCACTGTGGCATCGCTGGTGGCGAATGAGGTGGGACTTACCACTGAAAGATTTCCCGCATTCATCGCACGTGTAGGGCTTCAGTCCAGTGTGGATTCGCCGATGGACAACAAGGTTGGAGCTGTGACTGAAGGCTTTTCCACATTCCTTACACTTATAGGGTTTCTCTCCTGTGTGAATTCGCCCATGCACTGTAAGGTTTGCACTCTGACTAAAGGCTCTCCCGCACTCAGTACATACATACTGTCTCTTTTCGGCCTTAATTCTGTTGGTTGTTGCGGGCTCAGAGCACTGACTACCATCTTTTTCAGATTCTTGGTCATTCACTTCTAGAAGGATCTTCTTGTCTTTAACTGTCTTGTGTTTGAAGCTTCTGGTCTTTCTCTTCATTTTCTCTTGCTTAGAGCATCCCGATGGCCTTCCGAATCTTCTCTTTCTGTTCAGTGAAGCTTTCTAGATTTTTACTTCCTTGGCACTATCTCTGTGGAATTCTCTGGAATGCATGAAATTCTGATTTTTTTTTTTTCAGGAATGACCCTTTGGGATCAATACCTCCACAGTCCCAGTTGCACCATCTGACAGAAGAAACAGAAATCCGACATGTCACCTGTTCTCCATATTAGTGGAAGGAGGACTGTCCAAGGATAACAAGATGTGGTAGACCATAGTGTCTCACATGGAAGAGTTAGTCTTCAAAAGCAAGGGGAACTGATTAAAAAAGATGAGAAACTGAGGTTAGATATAGAGGCCAAGGTAAAGGCTTATGGACCAATAGGCCCAGCAACAGGATGAGCAATGAGTAATATAGAATCCAACCTGGTTTCTTCCTGTCTCATGTTCTAGTCCCAGCATTGGAGCCATCTAACTCCTAATCTAGTCCCAAGAGAAAACGAACTGAAATATTCTTAGTTCAGTAACTCAAACGACTAATCTTCAGATCATTTTGGCTTTTAATTCTTGTTGACCAATGCCCCCAGTGCCAGTGATACAGTGGCTGGCACAAAATAATTAGTTTCTCAAGGATTCTGTCTTAGGGTATGCCGAAGATTTCATTTTTGCTCGAATCCAGATAATAGGCATCTGTCTATCTGGGACTCTGTCTTGATAAGGAGTAACTTAATTCTTGCAATATTGGAACCAAGTCACATCATAGCCTTACTCTGCAGGCCTGGTCCATAACTGGATCCAGCTGTATGTGCTAATTCAGTCTGTCTACTTTGCTCCAAGTTATCACTCTGACAGACTGAGTCTGACTGGGTGAACCTGAGAAGCTGAAGAGTATTAGTTAAAGCACACCAGGGGGAAATCTCATAGGGCCTCCTTGTAGGGCATTATGATAAAGTTTCTACAGATGTAAAAGGGTGAAAGTAGGGGATAGGACAATCAAGAGGGGCTGATCATAAAACCAGGAATGATCAGGAATTTCCCTACAGATTTTTGTTTTTCATTTTTATTGAATTTATTGGGGTGACATTGGTTAATAAAATCATATAGATTTTAGGTGTACCATTCTATAATACGTCATTTGTATATTGTATTGTGTGATCACCACCTCAAGTCAAGTTTCCTTCCATTTCCATTTATCCCCCTGTGCCCTCTTCTACCTCCCTACATATATTATGTGAAACTCTAAACATATATGTAACCTACCGAGACCGGTTTGGCTCAGTGGATAGAGCATCGGCCTGCAGATTGAAAGGTCCCAGATTCAATTCCAGTCAAGGGCATGTACCTTGGTTGCAGGCACAAACCCAGTGGGGGGTGTGCGGGAGGCACACAAAAAATAAAAAAATATATTTTTAAAAATATCAATAAAAAATATTTTTTAAAAACCAAAACATATATGTAATCCTAGCAGACATCAAAGCTAGAGGAGGTTGGGTTAGTGGGAAATTAATGCTTTGCATTTGTATACTGTAAATATGAATGACGATTTGTTTGAAATGTGTAACTTTGATATGCAAAAGATAATGACTAACAATGTTAATATTAAATATTCCTTCAAAATAAAAAAATAAAAACTCAAAAAAAAAGAACACTGAAAAATGACTTTATGATACTAACATGACTAATTTTCCTTTTACTATGCTCCTTTCCAGACTTGTCTATAATCATATTTATATAAGTATAGTTTAGAGTAAATATAATTTCACAACTTCTTCCACTTAACTTTTTATTTTATTTTATTGATTTTTTACAGAGAGGAAGAGAGAGGGATAGAGTTAGAAACCCTGAGAGCAGACCCCCTCCCTGAGAGAGAATCATGGATCAGCTGCCTCCTATACACCCCCTACTGAGGATGTGCCTGCAACCAAGGTACATGCCCTTGACCAGAATCCAACCCAGGACCCTTCAGTCAGCAGGCTGACGTTCTATCCACTGAGCCAAACTGATTTCACTTCCACTTAACTTTTTGAAGTATTTTCCACATTGCTATTTAATCTTCCCAGGTGCCTTGCTGATCCCAAGCTCCCCGTTTAGCTACCGTGTTTCCCCGAAAATAAGACATCTTCTGAAAATAAGACCTAGCACATGGAAAGATAAGACATCCCCTGAAAATAAGACGTAGCGCAACTTTGGGGGAAAAAATTAATATAAGACACTGTCTTATTTTCAGGGAAACAGGGTAGTACAATAACTATTCTATCCTTAAAGGCTGCTATGAAAAAGATCAGTCTCCAGCCTTCTGGAGATGGGCAGCCAGGGAAAATGTTAATAGCCAGATATTTACACAGCTCTGTCACAAAGCAATAAATACCATTATTGAATGCCCTCCAGGAAAAGACTGTTAATAACTGAATGTGTCCTCCCAAATTCATATGTTGAAGCCCTAATCATAAGGTAACTATATTTGGAGAAGAGACCTCTAAGAAGGTAATTCAGGTTAAATGAGGTCATAAGAGTGGGACCCTGATCTGATAGGACTAGTGTATCTTTTTTTTATTTTTTAAACTTTTATTTTATTTTAAATATATATTTTATTGATTTTGTACAGAGAGGAAGGGAGAAAGACAGAGATAAGAGAGAGTCATCGATTAGCTGCCTCTTGCACACCCCCTACTGGGAATATACCCGCAACCAAGGTACATGCCCTTGACCAGAATCGAACCTGGGACCCTTCAGTCCCCAAGCCGACGCTCTATCCATTGAGCCAAACCAGTTTCAGCGGACATCTTTATAGGAAGATGTAGGAGTGCAATTTCACTTGCACTTCTACCCCTTCCCCCAAATACACAAAATGAGGAAAACCATGTGACCACACAGCAAGAAGGTAGCCACCTGCAAGCCAGGAAGTGTCCCCACCAGAAACCAAATCAGCTGGTCACCTTGATCTTGGACCTCCAGCCTCCAATACTGTGAGAAAATAAATGTCTAGTGTTTAAGCCACCCAGGCTGTGGTATTTTGTAATGGCAGCCCAAGCAGAATTTAAAAAAAGTATGAACTATATCTATATTTAAGGAGCTTACAATGGAGTAAATGACAAAATAATAAGAGAGCGAACTATAAATCTACAAAGTTCCCAATCAGGAGACGTAGGGAGCCAGAGGAGGGAGTGATTACTAGGATGCTTAAAATGCTTGGGAAAAGGTGCTTTACAAAGGCTAAACTTTGGCCCTAGCAGTTTTGGCTCAGTGGATAGAGCATTGGCCTGTGGACTGAAAAGTCCCAGGTTCGATTCTGGTCAAGGACATGTAACTTGGTTGCAGGCTCCTTCCCTGCTTGCTCCTTGATCAGGGCACATGCAGGAGAAACCAATTGATGTGTTTCTCTCACATCCGATATTTCTCTCAGTCTTACACTCTCTCTAAAAATCAATGGAAAAATATCCTTGGGTAAGGATTTTTTTAAAAAAAGGCTAAACTTTGGCTGAGTCCTGGAGGACAAGGAATTGTTTTCTTGATGTTTAGACAGGGACAGTGTAGTCAGAAATAAATGGGAGATTATATTATTACATGAAGCTTCAGGAAGGCACGATTTCTGTTCATTTTGTTCACCAATGTATTTTTAGCACCTAGCAAACACTGAAAATTCGTTGTTGTTGTTGTTGAATGAATAAGTGAAGGAATTAAAGAATCAAGTTGCCTGAAATGATACCAGCCAGAACACTGAAATTATGAGGCGAAAATTTGGGATATGATTTGATGATCAATAGGAAACATATTCTGAACAGAGGGAATGAAGCCTACCTTTGATTTTCTTTCCCCACTCCACAAAAGTATCCCAGTTTATACGATAAATTTTGTATCGTGCTACCCAAAAATGAAATTAGAAAACGAATACTTTAGGACGATTAGCCCAGATGGATGAAAGGTGGAAAAAAAAAGGAAAGAGGAAAGGAAATGGGTTGGGAGGCAACCTTAGAATGCACTATGGGGGACCATTGGGGGCCTGCCACTTTCTGGGTGCCCGGTAAATGTCTGTTGAAGAAATGAACACACAAATGAGACAGTGAGGTCCTAGGCTAGGAAAATGACAGGATCAGAGAACAATGAGGTCCAGCTGTTACAGGAAAGCATACACACAACTCAGACAGAATCTAGAGGATGACTGAAGGAAAGAGTTCAAGGTCATCAGATCTAGGTCTGAATGGTAGCATCACTAAGAGAAACAGGGTCCTTGGTTACTGATTCACTGCATATTCCTCCTCCTTTTGAGATGAGGAGGAATATGTCAGGAATGCAAATTGGAGAATGATCAGACAACAACAGTCACAGAAATGTATAAACTTGCTATGATGGAGATCTTAGTTGGAAGGGCAGGTAGAAAGAAAGAGAAAATGCAACGTGCTGTACTGAAGCCCATGGTGGTTCGGAGGGACCTAGATCCACCAAGGAAGCAAGACTTGTCAGGAGATGAGGAAGGACTAGTTTGAGGAAGTTATATCAAAAGAAAACCTATCTGCCCTCAACCCGCTGCATGGGAAATGCCCTTAGGAGTCCTGGAATCCCCAGGAACGAGGGCGGTGGGTCTTGGCTGGAGAAGTAGAAGGAGGGGCAGATGAGGCCAGAGGGCCAGCAGGGCATTAAGGGTATCCAGGCAGCTGTGCACACAGCACAGTCTCAAGATAACCAGCAAATGGACGAGGACCAATGACTCCCCACAAATCTCTGACCCACATAAACTGATGAACCAAAAGATAGATATAGAGACAGTGAAGCAACAAGCAGACTGTCAAATTATAGCGGGGAGGGGAGGGAGATCTGGGGAAGATAATAGATCAATCGAAGGACTTGTATACATGCGTATAAGTACAACCAATGGACTCAAAACTCTGGGGAGGGAGGGTATGTATGGGAAGGGGTGGCAGTGGTAGGATATGTACACAGATAAAAATTTAATAAAAAATTTTTTTAAAAAAAAATCTCTGACCCACAACTCCCTGAGACTG